ACACACATTTATATATATATATATATATATATATATATATATACATTTTGTACATATATGTGTTTAATATATATATATGCATCAAATACAGTGTAATATATGTATGTACTGGCCTAGAAAACGTGTAAATATATATGAAATGGAAATATAGGTGCGCCTGTTAGTATTCGTGTTTGCGTGTTCGCAAAAGTTAATTGTTTGGTTAATTATAAAGGATACAAAGATCCATCGGTAGAAAATGTAACAGTAACCATGTCTACGACAACGCCGCATTGCGGATTCAGCGTGGTGACGTGCAGCTGACCCCTTCCTGAACCGTTTATGGTCGCCCACGTTGTTCGACCTACCGACCTAATACGCGCTCGACCTACTGCCATCCGACACAGCAGGGATCCACTCTTTACATGCATTTCACCCTTTGTTACGCGTGTTCGCTACACGCGTCGCACTATGCCCGCAGGGGAGCACGTGCGAACACATAAACACGCTGCATATCGTTGTTTGCGAAGAGAAAAATTTAGCAAACTTTATACTTATGCACCACCTATTTCACTGTTTCGTTCGATCGTGTATGCATTCGTTCGATTTGATTAACACTAATCGACTCCTGCCGAAATACTATAAATCTGCATATGTATCGCATGAATCTTATTCGAATGTTATTTGGAGCAGCGTGAACGATAATTTGACATCTCCGGAAGCATGAGGTGATCTTCGACCAAGTTTTACTTACCTGTCAAAATCCAGTAACGTGTGCCGACGTGTTTCTGTCCCTTGCTGAAACGAATCTGCGCCTCGTGACGGTCGTGAGCTCTTCTCGAATTCGCAGATCGACTCCTTAGTTGAAATCGTGCCAAAGGTCTCGAAAACATTGATTACAATCGCCAACACACAAATACGTTGCAACCGCGGAAACAATATGTAACGATGCGTAACTTTTCGTTATTATCGATTATTATCGGTACGATGGGATCGTTGAATCATCGGTAGAGAAGGAGCATTGGTAAAGAGTAGTATGTACGCAGGCGGCTAGGCATTCAATATTTTTGCAGCGTATAACGCAGTGATAAAATTCAGAGGCAAGTTCTTCAAAAATCAGAGGCAATTTCTTTTTAATAACTTATTACAGTACTTTATTAAACTTGTCGTTAAGTTCTTAGATTACCTAAATATACACCCTGCGGCGAATTTCACAGTACACATCAATGTATTTTATCAAATAAACTTGATGTCAATCTCGGCGCGTAATTGTCGAAACTTTCGTGTAGTAACTTTCTCGTTCCGATAATCAATTATCATGGTGTTCCGCAACGATAACCAATTATCGAAACTTGCTTCGATCGCACGTACTTAATAACGTACGTACCCATATTTATTTTATGTATGTGATGTATTCACGAAATGAAATGTTTGTAAAAGAGGCAGTCTTTTCTACGCTATCGTACGACCGTGTACATGTTCGTTTCCTTATCATCTTTTCTTTATTCATCTTTACCAAGTTGAATTCTTTTTATTACCCAGATCCAGCGTAGTATGGTAATTTCATTATTTATCTCTTTAATAATCTTTCCAAGTTTCTTTTTAAAACCATTTACAACACGCCAATACCTTTCACTCTTACGAACACGCGAGTAACACACGAGTACGTTTCAGCATTCGAAACGTGCACTCGCGCGGGCAACGAACGAACGTTTACATAATCTTTTTACCAGAGGACGAAATTTCCTTTTTTCCTTTTTCCTCTTTTCCATTTTTCCATTTTTCCATTTTTCCCTTTTTCCCTTTTTCCCTTTTTCCCTTTCTTCCATTTACTTTGCATATTCCTCAATTACGTTAAAAATTACAGGTTGTCCGCGATAAGCGAAATAACCGAAATAACCAGACGATAGCGCGAGAGAAAGAGTCGAAGAGATATAGGTAGATGAGGTGAGGTGAGAACGCTGAGAAATAATATTTTGTGTGTAATCATAACGAAGAAAGTGTGACAACCTAAATTGACGTATCGATGATCGTATCGATGATTGTAAAGAAAAAAAAGGAAAGATGGAAAAGGAGGAAAAGGAGGAAAAGGAGGAAAAGGGGGAAAAGGAGGAAAAAGAAAAGAAGAAAGAACGAGAAGGAAACGAAGCTGTTAGTTTCATAGATGGAGGAGAATAGGCATTGTGCGCGACGAATTACGAAAGAAAGAATGGCAATGGGGATATAACGGAGCCTCGGGGTAATGGACAGTCTCATCGAGAAGCGAGACGGGAGAAGAAATAGTTTTCGTATAATATAAAACAGCATTCTTCGGTTCACAATGTTTTTCGCAAGTTCGAGAGAACGTACGAGGATCAGCTAAACACCGTATCAAATATCATTAAGAAACTCTACTTTCGCTTTCGGTTCACTTGACCGTCCTCTGGCATGTGGGCAAGTTTACCCTGAAGAATACATTGAGTTCTATTAACGAGGCTAATATCAGGAACACGACATACATACATAAGCAGGCACGGCCGACTTTTTTATCGAGCTGAAACTTATTCGAAGCGAAAGCAATGTAGAGTAACATCAGTGTCGACAACAACGATATGGCACTGTACTCGAGCCCACCAGAGTTTATACTGATATAATGTTTTCCAGGTTGTGTCGGTGAAAACGAAGATTTGATTAGCCACGGTAGACCCAAACATAACAATATGTCGAAAGTGTTCGATCCTATCGAGTTGCTGATACCCATCGAACCGTGTCCTGGTATGCAAAATAAATTGGTAAACTGGATGGGTAAACTGGATGTACGCAAAAAGTCACGTAATTTCCATCTTAAATATTGTTAACCAGTATATCATTCGTTAATATTCTAATTTTAAATATTATATTCGCATATTACCTTACCTTGCTTCGCCACTATTACGCTTGACACGGCCTCCGGCACGCTGGTACCAGCAGCTAGGAAAGTAATACCCATTACGGAGTCTGGTATCTTCAAAGTATCCCCTGAAACGCAAACGATCATTTTCATCGTTATTTTACCCTATTTACACCATTTCCAATCGTCTATTCTTTTTTCCTTATTTTTTTCTTTTTTTTTTTTTTTTTCTTTTAATTCATTCCTTTACTCGTAACAGCTTTCTTTACCGATTATAGTAATCATCCAAGCGACCACATAACTCAAAGATCCAATCCAAATTATACACATGAGAAACGTTATGGGAAACCAATTCTTGAATCGCGGCTTCTCACAGTCAGGTATCGTGCACATGAAAACCAAATGAATCGGCCATGTCATAATCCATGCTGTTTTTCTTATCCATCCAGCTCGTGCCGGCCAAACCAATAATTCGTATTCATAATCTGGACAGCGTGAAAAAATATAACGCTCTATTATATTCTTCCCATCTTCCTCATCCCCTACATACACACCACTTCATCACTTCCGTCTCTCTCTCTCTCTCTCTCTCTCTCTCTCTCTCTCTCTCTCTC